CCGGGGGGGGGGGGGGGGGGGCAAGCCATGGGGTGACTCTCCACCCCCCACTGTGGCAGGGAACCAAAGCAGGCTATTTGGGAAGCCTTCTCAAGTTTGTCTCTTAATAGCCAGCAGACAGATCCGACGCCCCCAGAAATGAGCAGATTCTGACCTGCCTGGACCACAGCAGGGTGGGGCCCTCAGTGGGCATGGAGCCCCCAAGCATTTCCAGCTTCAGGGACCCTCAATGTGTGGTCTATCTCCTTGGATGTGCACAGTGGTCTCTCAAGGGGAGGCTGTTGGGCTAGGTCTATGCTATGCAGGAAGAAACCAAGACCAAGAGGTTAAGTAAATCCCTGAAGGTCACTTCACTGCTTAGTAGAGGGCCCGACACACTCCCAGGAAGGTGCTCAGAGGCCCTGCTTCCTTCCAATGGCCCCTCGATCGTGAACCCACCACTGCTGGCTGCCCTCCTGTTCCCTCCCCCGGTGTGGGCACCTGCACCTCCTGGAGTGTACTCGCTGGCCAGGCCCTTTCCGGGCTGTGGCACCCCAGGGGCGGGCACTGCCACTCTCTGCAAGACCTGCTGCAGCTTCATAGCAGGTATCCTGTGAGGTCTATCCCCCAGCTCAGGGTCTCAGTGAGACAGAGATGGCGCCTCAGACCAGGCTGTTCAGGGGCTGGGGAGGGGCCTCATGAGGGGTGGTGCCAGGTAGGAGAGCCCACTCCCATGGGGCTCTAGTAGGCGAATGACGCCACCTGGGTCTGAAGGGGTGCAGAAAAGAGCTTTGACACTGGGGCAGGTTCAGCAGAGCCGTGACCCTCATTTAGGGAGGCAGAAAGGGCTGGGGACATGTGTCCTGCCTCTCCCTTGTCCCTCCCTCTGGTCTCCTGCTGGGCTCCCCATTGGCCAGCCCAGTCAGAAGCTGGATTCCATCCACGCTGCCCTGGACCAGGGTGCAGAATGTTGGGGGAGGGACTACAGGGACAGGGGGAGCTTCTGTCATCAAGACCTCGCTCTCTGAGGTCAGGCTGGGCTGGGTGCTCTGTGACATGTCCAGGCCCACAGGCAGAGGGAGGAGGGAGAATGTAGGGGGAGGGACTGCAGGGGCAGGGGACCCATTGCCATTGAGAACTCGCTGCCTGAGCTCGGGCTGGGCTGGGTGCTCTGTGCTCAGAGCATTTTCTGGTGTCCTGGAGGACGCAGGCCTGACCTTCTGGGCACAGAGGCCAGAGTCATGACCTCCCCCTCCCAGGTCACCTTGTAAGTGTCCAAGCTCTGTGGAAAAGGCCAACTCTGCTGCGTAATCTCCTGGGTAAGCCGGGTGGGGGGCCGCATGGGGTCCTGATGTGACATACCGTCATCAGTTTCCAGACTGCCCCACATGTCATCCTGTCAGCCCTGCCTGTGGGTCGTTCTCATGAAAGGTGACACAGCTCCCTGATGGAGGTGATGGCCACGCCTGCAGTAACTCACTGGTGTTGCCTGGCCCGGTGGGCAGCACCCCACAGGGGAGGAGAAGCCCCTAATGGTCAGCTGCTTGGTGCCAGCTGGGGTCAAAAGAGGAGGCCCAGGGAGGATGGTGGGGCAGGGATAGGGGTGATGTGTCCATGCTGTGGACACACGTCTCTGGGGGCCACTCTCCATGTCCCATCCCCCTCCACACAGCCAGGTGCTGGCATGGTCATCTTCCCCATTCATTCTCCATATTCCTTTGAGCAGCGTCAGGGGAGAAGGCAGAGATGCCATGTGGAACCTGAGAGCTTGAGAGGGCTGTGCAGGTCAGCCCTCCTGTTCTATTTTACAGAGAAGGAAACTGGCCTGGGAGAGGCGGGGCCACTGTACTCAGGGACACACCGGGAGTGCCTCTCCCCAGTCCTGCAGTGACACTCCAGCGAGCTCACCTCTGGCCTCGTGGTGTCTTTCAGCTCGTGGGCTTCATCTACGGCTGCTACGTGGTCAGTGTGTTCACAGAGGAAGAGGACAGCTGTAAGTTTTCAGCAACCAGCCTCCTGCCAAAGCCTGTTTGTGACACATCTGGCCCCACAGGCAGAGGGAGGAGGGAAGCAGAGGGCAGCTGGCGGAGGAGGCCCCTCTCTGGTGGTGTCTCCAGGCCCAGTGGGAGGCCCTTGCTCAGTGCTGCAGGACTGAGCAGAGGGGACAGTCCAGACACCTGAGGAGGAATGAGGAGGGGTCCTGGACTGTGGATCCCAGGGGTCAGCTCACCCTACCTCCAGGCTCGCCTCATGACCACCACAGTTGCCACAGGTGGAAGGTCTGAGCTCTCAGACCTATTGAGGCTCAGGCTGCCAGCCTCTTGCCACTGAGAACTGGGTGGTGTTATTGGCGGGTGCTCACATCAGGCCCTTGGCACCAGTCTTGACCCTTTGAGCAGTATTTTTTCTTCCCCCTGTTTGCGAGCCCATGTTACATTGCCTCTGATTTGCAGCATGCCCTAAGGTGGCCTCACAGGAAGACCCTGCAGAGAAGGACAGAGCCAGGGTGGGCAGGTGGCAGAAGCCAGGTAGGGCCGTGCACACCGGGGGCCCACGGCTCCTATGGACAGGCCTTCGCTGGGGTCAGAATCGGAATTCAGAGCCATCCGTCCCCAGGAGTGGCTGGCCATGGGGTCAGTGGTTTGCGTGTCCTACACTCAAGCCTGGGCTCAATGCTGGAGGCTGGGACGCTCCTGGAGCGTGGCTCTCAGCACCTCAGTGCTGCCTGAACCACAGCTGGCTCCCTGCTGATCACCTTAAAGACATTTTAAGGTGGGAGCCGGCTGGGGGATCAGAAACCCATTAACTCTGCTCGGCAAGCCCCTGCCCCCCTCTAGCTGTGCAGACACAGCTTCAGGATGGCAGCCAATGTTTGTGAGCAAGATTGGAGGGGGGAGGTGTGATCAGGAGAGTCTGGCAGGGTGTGTGCAGCCCCCACCCAGGCTGAGGACCTGCCCCAGGCCACTTCCCCATTGTTGGGATGGTTGGATCCATTTAAACATTTCAGCCCAAATCACCCACTATTTATGCCCCAGGGAAATCGGCCTCCCCCAGCTGCCCCTCAGCTCCTCTGTGCCTTGTTGTGGGATGTCTTCCATTCCACCACCTTTTCCATTGTCTGGCTTTGTTTTATTTGGGTCTTGGTTTCTTTCAGTTGATTTCATTGGTGGATTTGATCCATTTCCTCTCTACCATGTCAATGAAAAACCTTCCAGCCTCTTGTCCAAGCAGGCATACTTGTAAGTATGGCCCGCAGGGCCCGCAGAGCCTGCTCGGCCTCTGGCCTGGCCGACCAGGGCGGCACAGCATGAGGCTCCTCCCTTTGGGGGCCTTGCCAAGGCATCCATCTGTCTGTCCGTCTGTCTGTCCATCCACCCACCCATCCACTAACCCCCCTTTTCTGAGATCTACTTCATGCCAGGCTCTGGGATGGCTACTGGTGGTGCAGAGACTTCAGAACTTGGCTTGCACTCCCGAGCGTGGAGCCCAGAGTCTGACACAGCTCTGCTGGGGGATGGGCGGGCGTCATGAAAGGCCACTTCCTGGGAGGGCCGTGTGGAAGTTCTCCAGGGGTCTCACTGCGGCAGGAAATTTGGGGTGTCAACCTCTTATTTTTGGAGGATCAGGCTTCTATCTTGAAAGGCCTCGGGGTGGGGGGTGCCTGGGCTCCTAGCCCTCCTTCTCTGAGGCAGCCATTGCCCTGTGGGTAATCCTGAAGTCTGGGGTCAGAAGAGTCACCTGGTGGCCTTTTTCCTGGGGAAGCCACGCTTCCTCCATGCTGCCCGGGCTCTCAGAGACATCGCTAGGCAGCTCCCGCTCTTCTACCCTGTAAGTGAAGGCCCACTGTGGCCGAGGGCTGTCAAGACAGCAGGAGTCCAGCTCCCAGGACAGACAGGAGGAATGTAGACCTCGGGAGGGGAGGGGCCTCCACAGCACAGGACATGGGCCTGGGTTGGTAGAGCTCCCGAGCTGGGCAGTCCTCTGTGGATTCTATCTCCAGCTGGGGACCCAGGGTGAACCCCCCAGCCCAAACCCAAGAGAGACGTCTGTGGCCAGAGTCAGGAAATGGCCCAGACCCTGACTGCCTGGGCTGTGGAGACAGCCTGACACAGTGCTCACCCCCTGCCCATCTCTGCCAATGGTCAGGAAGCCCCCTTCTCTGATCTTGTTCTACTTGCACTTCAAGCTCTGCAAAGGGAGAAGGGATGGCAGCCCCTTTCTTCCCCAGCTGCCCTCTGACCCCTGCCCTTGTCCCCACAGGCCCGAGTAAGTGAGGACACAACTGATCATGCCCTGTGACCTCAGCCTCATCGACCACAATGAGGACTCCAGGGCCTCGGGACACAACCCTGGCCTCCCTGCCCCCACCCACTGCTCTGCAGGTGGCTGGTAGCACCTGCCCCTCAGTGAAGTGCTTGGACCCCAGTTAGGGTGGCAGGGCAGGGCTGGTGCTGGCCACAACTTGGAAAGAGTTTGTAATTTCCTTTTTCTAAGAAAAGAAAAAAAAAAAGGACAGAAACAAAAGAAAACGGAAAATAGGAAAACCACATTCCTAGTGTCCTCGGGCAGTACTGGGATTATAAGCGCCAACCACCAACTGTTGTCCCCAGAGCCCCCTCCGTCGGGCCTTCCGCTGGGCTGCTGGACCCACAGCTGTACTCCCTGGTGCTGGGGGAATGGGCTGGCCTCGGGGACTGGAGATGGAAAGGTGTAACCCCTCCGGGAGGTCAGTGTGTGACCCCCTTGAACTGTGAGGGCCCTGATTGTACTCTGCAGCACAGCAGCTACAAGCTCAGGAGCCGAGGATGGTGGAGCCCCATGGTGGAGAGCTGGGCTGGGCCAGGAGCCCCTGGCCCTTCTGAGCTGTGTGCCAAGCTTGGGTGAGCACTGGAGCCCGGTCCCTGCTGCACAGAGCAAGGTGATTCCTTGTGATAAGTTGTGGCACCATTCATAAAGAGGGAGCTTAGCAAACAGTCCTAAAGAATCCCTCAGGTATTCACAAGCAGGTAAATAAGAAGGAACACGGCCCTCCAGCCCACCCTCCTCAAGGTGCCAGAGGTAGTTAGAGGTATAGGAGGGGCCTGAGGCCAGTACATTCTAGAAGTCCTTGGAATACTGAGAAGTTAGAGCAAGAGAAAGGGGGATGAGTTTAGGAGATGGGACGGGCCCCAGTGCTTCCCTGCTGGTGGGGAGGTGGCTGGTGGGCCTGGGACAACGACAGTGCCATCCGGGGGAGCACCACTTTATTTATCTTCAAAAGCATCCAACACAGGTCTGGTAAAACCACCTCCACACCAAGTGGGGGCTTCTTTCTCCATCCTGGGCTGGTGTCCTGGAATTGGGGCTGATCGATGGTAGACACCAGCTCAGCCAACCCCAGCAGACCCACCGCATGATCTGGCACAGGCTGAGAGAAACAGGGTGCCCACCCTGTGACCCTTCTGGCCGACCACAGCGCCTGGAGGGACAGGGGAGGGTGAGAGAGTCAGCAGCTCCCACAGGGCTTGTCCACAGAGCCGGGGGCCCTGAGGCCCCAGGGAGTGGCCTGCCTGTCCCTTTGTCCTCCCCAGAAGATTTTCAGACACATTTTGGGGCACACAGGCTTTTGAGAGCCCCAGGAAGGCTGTGGCTCCTGTACCCCACCCACTTCTCTAATAATCAAGGTTCACACACCGCACCCCCCGTCCATGCGTTTCTTTTGGGCACTGGCCCTCAGGTTACGATCCTGGCCCTGGCCCTTTGTGTATTTCCCATGCCTCCCATGACCGGGCTGCAGTTCTGTACACCCAGCTGGACAGAAGGCCCCAGGCCCCCCGGACCACTGAGGAAAATTGGGGCAGCGATGTGCCCAGCAGAGGTCATTTAACATGTCCCAGCAGAGTGGTGGTGGTTGCCTGGGTGCTGTGTTGAGAGGGGTTCAGAGCAAGCTTCTAAGCATCAGGGGAAGGTAATGGGATTCACCAGTGGCCACGCAGTGTCAGGAGCAGGGGGCAGGAGACAGGATGGCCCAGGGCCCCCGGCTGTGTGAGGGATGCCTGCAGGTGGCTCTGGGGCACTCACCTGGCCTAGGACAGGAAAGTGCGCACGCGGCTGCGGACGGGGGCCCGGCAGATAGGGCACACCTGCAGGCTAGGGGCGCATTCAGCACAGGCCAGGTGGCCACAGGGCACGAAGACAATACACACAGTGCGGTCCAGGCACACCCTGCATGTCCTCTCCTCCCGCAACCGATGCAGCTGCTCCTCCATGTCGCCAGCTCCTGGGCTCAAGAACCACCCATGTCCTCCGGGCCTGGGCTTGGCTGGTCCCTCCAAGGGGCCTGTGACCCTGACCCCCACCCTCCGTCTGGGCCAAGGGGGAGGGGGCTGGGGCCTAGGCCAGGCTGCCCCACAGGTGCTGGCTGCCCTCCCACCCCAGACTCGCCCAGGATGCAGGAGGGAAGGTCCCAGCCCCACCCCTGCCTCGCCCCACATGGGTCCTCAGCCTGCACCTGGCTCCCTGGCGCTTTCTGATGGGATGTCTCTTCTGGGTGTGAGCAGCTCAGGACCCTCGTGGACAGGAGCTGTGGCAGTTATGAAAGGACTTGAGGCCTGGTTCCCAAGGGAAAGTGAGAGCTGGCCCAGAGCCTCGTCTGGCTGCTGGTGAGGTCCAGGCTCACCAGGAGGGGGGAATGGGTGTGACCGCAGAGTGCCCACCCTCCCCAGCACAACAGAATCCTGAGGTTTCCTGAGACTGGAGGATTCCTGGAGGGGCCACCAAGGAGCCTTTCCCTCCAGTCCTGTGGGCAGTGGCCATGGACACTGTTAGCGGGGGGGCAGTGGGGCAAGGGTGATGGGCTGTGCCCAGAGGGTGAACAAGGAGAGAAACAGATGGAACCCAGCAGCATGCCCCGCTGCCCAGCCCGTGGCCCGTTTGGAACATGGTCTGTACTGCTGGACACCAGCTCCGTGCTGACCACCCCTGTTGGCCATGGCATCTTAACAGATGGAACCCAGCAGCATGCCCCGCTGCCCAGCCCGTGGCCCGTTTGGAACATGGTCTATACTGCTGGACACCAGCTCCGTGCTGACCACCCCTGTTGGCCATGGCATCTGCAAGGCAGGCTGAGGGCAGGGAGGGGCCAGGGACTCAGGGTCACAGAGTGAGGCAGATGGCCTGCCAGTGTGCTGGCCACCAGGGCCACCCTCAACGGGGGCGGGGAGCTGCTCCTTCAGTGCCAGTGTGGGGTCTGTGTTCCATTAAGGCACAGTGAAGGGTCATAAGCTCGATCACCAGTCACCAGGGATGGAGCTGTGCCAGGCAGAGCACTGCAACATCACCCAGCCCCCATTTTATCCCAAATGGGGTTGGAATCGTCCTCATTTCACAGCTCAGGCACTGAGACTCAGGGAAGAAGTCCCTTGTCCATGGCCACAGGGTTGGCAGATAGAAGAAGTGGGGTGTGAACCCCGGAGCCCCACAGACCCCCTGCCCTGCCAGGCCTGGGCATGACGTGGAAAGCTGAGCTCTGCACAGTCCAGCTCCTCTGGGCTCTTTGTGTGACCAGCTCGTGACCAGTCAAGTCAGCGTTTAGAGGCTGTGGCTGCCGGCTGCCCCAGTAGAGGCCAGCCTAGTGCACAGCCACCTCCACAAGCCTGCTAGCCTGCCCAGGGGTTGGCTGGCGCCCATGGTGACCTGCTCAGGAGTAGCCGGGGGATGCTTTGGTCTCACCTGGAGCTGTGGACACACAGTGTATGGCACAGCCCCCCATGCAGCAAATGCAGCAGCAGCCTTACACCTGATCCAGTGGTCTTCACCCTCCCTGCTGTCCGGCATGGTGGGGACACAACAGCCTCAGCCATAGCACCGGCGGCAGGTGCCCAAGGAAACAGTAGGGCCTATACATCACGGCTCTCACCTGAAGGGGTGGCAGGGGCTGCATCTTCTGGTTCTTCCCATTGGTTCTGGAATGGGCCAGAGAACATCTGTGCTTTGAGTAAACAGAGGAGTGGGGGCTGGGGACCCTAACTCCCCCTTCCCCAGAGCTCAGGAGAGGCAGAACTCACCCAGGAGCCAAACAGATGAGAATAAGACTCTTGGACTCTGTGGACAAAGTCCCTTCCTTTTGACTGGAGCAAGAACTGACACCTGAAGAAAGAGAGTTCAGAAGCCCCACGCATGGTGGGTCGGGGCTATCAGAGAGTTCCCCCCTACCCCCCCATCAAGGTCAAGGCCTTGGAGCCTTCTGGGTGGGGGGGGGGGGGGGGGGGGGGGGGGGGGGGGGGGGGGGGGGGGGGGGGGGGGGGGGGGGGGGGGGGGGGGGGGGGGGGGGGGGGGGGGGGGGGGGGGGGGGGGGGGGGGGGGGGGGGGGGGGGGGGGGGGGGGGGGGGGGGGGGGGGGGTCCCTGCGTGCTGGGCTCTTGCTGGGGAGGCTGCCCTGGGGACGGCCTCTGCTGAGCTCTGCTGAGCATCAAGGGAGATTAGGAGGAGCATCTCTACCCCCAGCAGCCCTTTCCAAAAGGGGGCTCCTACCTGCAGGCCAGAGTGCCATCCCCAGAGGACGTGCCATCCCCTCTCATGCCCTGGGGCTGGGGAACAGGGGGTCTGGGAGCTGTTACCTGGGGAACCACTTGGCGTGCTCGGTCCAGGGATCATCGCCTCGCTCCCAGCTCTGCAGACCCCCGTAGCAGAAGAAGCACCTCACCTTGTCCTGCTGGCCTGGGGTGCGGCAGAGAGGCTGGCACTGGCCCAGGACCCCCTGGCCCCCAGCCTTGCCAGAAGACCTGCCCAGCCCCATGTGCCTCCTTTCAAGGCTGAGAGCTGGGGGGTTGCTCCCAGGTGGTCTTTCCTGCCAGGAAACTAACAGGGTGGAGTGGGGGAAGGGTAGAGGGGAGGATGGGAGAGGAGAGCGGGAACAGGGAGGAGGGGTCAACCACCCAGGGGCGTGGTTAGTCATCTCACATGCACCCTTCTGACTCAGAGGTGAAAGGGACCACAGCCGGCAGCACTCGCCAGGATGGGCCGAGAACATTCAGGAAAGGGTTGCGTTGGCATTCGTATTGTTCACAGGGAGGGAGGGAGGGGGAGGCCCGAGGACTCAGAGCATCTGTAGCTTGGAGCTTCAGGGGCAGGAGGCCCCCTCCCCCAGCTCTTTGCCTCCCCAGGATGGAGTCGCAGTAAGAGGAGGAGGAGGGCTGCCCCTTGCACACCAGTCTGGGGCCAGGCTTGGTTTTAGGAGCTCATGCCTCCCTTGGGGTGGAGTCCCTCATCTCTCCCTCCCTGGCAGCAGACGCATCATCTGGTGCAGCGATCTCAGGGCTGGGGCTGCCACAGGGACAGCCCAACATCAGACCTCCAAGAGCCTCTTCCGGACACCCCTGGGGGCCCCACAGACCCCTGGCACCTCTCCTATCTCCTACCACTGCCTTTTGCTGAGCCTTGGACCTTGGGAGGCAGATGGGCCAGGCCTGCCCCTTTACAAGGCGGCTCCCGACTGTCCTAGCTCCTGACACCTGCCTGGTGTCCAGTCGTCCTGTCAGTCTGGCCTCTTACCTAGACAGTGCTGAGGAAGGCGAGGGCTGAGCTCCTGCCCCAGAGCCCACTGGTGACAGTGATCACAGCTGTGCTTGCACTGGTCATCCTACGAGTTTGTCCCCTAAACCTCTACTAGCCCTGCAGATACAGGTGTGGGGTGAGGGGGTTGGGCTCTACATGATGTCAGCCCATCTTGTCTCCATTACAAACGGTGCTGGGGACCCTGGCAGGTTGTGAGGACCCCTGAGTGGGTGCAGGCACCTGCAGGGCCACCTGAGCCTGGTGTAGCAGCTGCGCCAATGGACCCCACACACTGACATCCTCCCTGGGCCACAGCCAGAGCAAGCCCCTCCCCCTTGTACCGAAGGGTCTTGTCTGCAACCTAACCTGTGTGCCCAGCAGAGACTCCAGGAGGGGTGGCCAGAGGGCACGGTCATGGGATCAGCTGCAGGACCACCACCACCACCCCCTTCACTGGCCTGGACCCTGCTGTGGGGGGTGGGATCTATGGAGAAGGTAGAGACCTGGGCTGGGGGTCATGAATGGGGCCCAGGCCTGCAGCTGGAAGGCCCCAGGACTCACCCGTATGGAAGAAGCCGGCGGCAGCCAGCAGCTCAGGTGGCACCCCAGTGGTTGGCGGCCAGTCGTAGAACGAGGCCAGCCGCAGCTCCTCTGAGCCCATCCCTGGAAAGGCAGCCCCTGCATGTGAGGCGGCCCCCACCCCCTCCTCCTCTTCATCCTCTGCCAGGAGACGCAGCTGGCCCAGGATCTGCCCATCCACGTGGTCCCGGTCTCCCCAGGTGTCCGGGCCCACGATGTGACCACACAGAGTGTGGGGTGTATGGTGCTCCTGCGTGGGGCCACGGCCAGCTGCCCAGCAGCTCAGCTCTGGGCCACAGCGCAGGCACTGGGCCCTGTCCCCAGGCCCCATGGGGAGAACAGCAGCTCTGACCAGGTTTGTAGCAGAGACTGGGACCTTGAGCGGCCAGTCCTGGAATATGCCCAGCCAGCCCGCCTCGGGGCTCCTGACCCCTGCCAGGCCCTCCCAGGGGTCAGCGGTGGTCTCCGCCCCCAACAGCTGACAGATGAGGGCAGGCATGGTTCTGCCACCAGGCCCAGGTTGGGGAGGGTCCGGGGGCCACTGCTTTCTGGAAGAGGCCAGGGTGGCAGCTGGTCATGTGCTCTCTGTAGGGGGTGTGTGTCACGGGGCCTCCCATCAGACTGCAGTGGGGCTGGGCAGCAGTGGGGCTGCCGGTCCCACTCCACTCCACAGGAGCAGGTAGCATCTCTCAGGACAAGGGGGATGGGGTCGAAGGGGGATGGGGTCGGAGCATTGAAACCCTTCCCAAGACATCTTCCAGAGGGTGCATGGGAAAAGCTGGAGATACCGCTGGTCAGCTCCCAGAATCAGGCACCAAGTGCAGCCCCTGGAAGCAGATTGTTAATGCTCCAGTGGGGACTGACCACGGGAGGAGGGGCGACACTCCCTTGCCTTACAGAGCTGGGTCAGGGGTTGACTCGGGCAGGCTGGGTCTGGGGTCTGGCAGCACGCTGGGGAGATGAGTTACCTGGGTGGTCTCCTCTGAGCTTGGAACGTCCCTCTGCCCTCACCTGGAGCAGCTCCTGTCCACAGGCCATGAACATCCAAGAGGACAGATGGGCTTGCACCCCTCTGGAGGCTCTGGGGAGGGAGCTGGACCTGAGCTCGCCTCCATCTCCCCTCCCTTCCCCTGCTTCAGCCCCCCCATGTGGCCAGGAGGGAAGCTGTGCTTGGGGGGGGGGTTAGGCTGTGGGGGCAAAGCCACCCACTGGGCCGGCATAATGTTTACACTGGAATTAGCATCCCTGAGGTTCGCTGTGGCCCAGGCACCAGGGACATTTGAGTTGGGTTTGTAACTGCAACCACAAGCACCTGCCTCACCAGGTCTGTCCTGATGCTCCCATCCCCTGCCCTGGTGCAGCTGCTCGCCTCATAGCAAGCTCCCTCCCTGGAGGGGCCTAGTCAACCTGGGGCACCCTGGCTCTTGGTCTGGGAGGAGCCTGTGTTCCTGAAGGGAGCCCGAGGTTTGGGACTGTGCTCTCCCATAGGCACCCCTGCCTGCACCTGTCACATGGGATGCCCCTTCCCCAGAGTACTGCCTCACACCTGGTCCCAGCCGCAGTCTCCAAGCCCTAGTTGGCTCAGGGGCTTCAGCACCCCAACACAACAGTGAGAGAACCTGGAAACAGACCTGCTTCTCCCCAGAGGAGCCGGAGCTCCCAGGTGGGCAGTGCAGGAATCCCGAGGACAACTGGAAGGAATAGAGATGAAGATGCATGAGGCCCAGCACCCCTCCCCTGCTCCCTGGAGCAGACGCAGCCCGTCTGCCCGCTCAGCCCTGAGAACCCTCTGTCCCCTGAGCCCGTCCCTGCTGCTTTACCCTGGGCTTGCTTGGCGTGCGCCTGCCCACAATGTGGCGAAGCTTTTAAAACAGTCCATGAGGAAGGAAACAGAGGAGCCGCAGGCTGCAGGGCCACTGGCCAAGGGAGCACAGGCCAGCAGGAGGGGGTTCATCTTTCCCATGAGGCAGCAGAAACCACGCCCTGCAGTGAGGATCCTGGAGAAGAGCTGGTGGAGAGAGAAGGGTCCTCACTCGGCTCTGCATGCCCTGCGTCTTGATCTGGCCTGGCTGCCTCTCTCACCTCCCAAGCAGAGCTGCAGAAGCCAGCCTGCTGCCCCTGCTCCCCTACACCTGCCCACACCTGCTTCTCTCTCGCTGCGGGGCAGGGACTGCAGCCTCACCCTCCCAGGAGGCCTCAGGTCATGGTTCAGGTCAGGTTCCAGCTGCTCAGCCCAATGCTGCCAGGGGCCCAGCGAGACTCCCAAACCCTCTTCCACTGGAGGCCCAGAGCCACCTGGTTACCTACAGGAAATCAAGGTAGAGGGTGTGGCTGGAAACCAGATGGCATCAGGGCCTTAGCTGTGCCCCCTCCCAGACTCCCAAGGCCCTCGCTGCACCCCTAGGCCTGGCTGGGGCAGTGGAGCCTCAGATCGAGAGCCTGGGGGTGGTGAAGGAGTTAGGCTAGACATGAGGTAGAACTTCCCAACATACTGATCTGGGGTAATCGTGGGATACCTGGGTCTTTGCCCCTTTTCTGTTCTCTAGTCCTTTGGTGAGGACTTGGGAATATTGGTTACCATTGGTCACCTCAAGTGTGCCCGCCCCCTGGGCCCTTTCAGGAGGATATGGGCCTCGAGCCTGGCAGTTTTCCCCACCTGTCTGCAGCCTGCTCCTACCAAGGGAGGGGCACGTACAGTCCCCAGGTTTGCTCTGAACCCTCTAGGTCTGGCCCCTCTGAGGTGAGCGGGGCAGCAGGGTGGCCCCCCTCTAGGCACTCCCCCCCTCCCCCCCCC